TCAGTCCAGTCTACCCCTCAAACTGGACCGAAACCGGTCCTATGATCAGGACCGGTCCGAACCGTCCAACGTTAGACAGTTAACATCTCTATATGATTATATATATCAAAATTACTTTCTTCGATTATGCAAAACTTCCAAACGCACGAATATTTCAAGCGAGATCCCTCCAAGTGGAAAGTCTTGGAGTTTTTGAATGAATGTGTCACGGAGCCATTTGACAGCAAGGTGGATGCTTACTTGAAATCTCTTGAAAATATCAATTGCAACGAACAAGGGACTCGACAGGAAAGAGCGAAGGAACTTCTTGAAACTTATAGAGAGGCAAGTAACATTTCCTTTTATTAGTAGGTGACATGACGTGAACTTTCTAGGTTATCGTCAAAAGGCTTCTTGCTGAGTCACGAAGCCGGTGCTAGGACGCGTGGGGCTTTCTTGGTTCCCTGTGGTCAAGGTTTCTTGCTGACCTAGCATTGGTCCCATCGGGACATGGTGGAGCTTTCTTGGTTCCCTGTGTTTAAAGGTTTCTTACTGACCGGTGGGGTATATAATAAATTGTAAAAAAATAAGAAAGTATCAACTTAATAAATTCATCATGCTTAGGGAAATGATCACAAGGATGCTAAAAGATGGAATAAAACGCGTAAATTGCGTAAATCAAGTGGGCCAACGATTAACATTGATAATTCGATTTCTGCGAATGGAACTATAAGTGGAACAATATGTAGCGGAACGATCAACAGCAAAACTGTGGTTAAGAGGAGGAATCACGAAGAAGTATGAATATTCATTTTTTTAGCAGTTCTTTAGCATTACTGCCAGTATTAAAATCATGATTTGGCTTCGTGCATCTATAGGACGAAATCGATGAATTTTTTCAAAAACCAAATGAACAACAATCCAATCGGTTTGCTAAGAAACTGCGGAAATCAGAAACCACAGATGAAATAATTCATCATGATGATGACGATGATGAGATAGAAAAAGAAATGTGTGAATCAGCCATGTTAGAGTACGTATGTTCATTCCAGCAAATGAAAAACGAAAAAAAATGGGTTTTGAAATCGGGAAAATGCGTTGAGGACAAGTTGTATGCCTTTGGAAAACAATGCCGATTTGAACAGTATGTAAAGATGTATGTGATTGCTAAAAAATTTCCGATCTTGATAATATATGGTTTCTTTTGTTTCTAGTTTGGCGCATTCTTTCATTATCAACCCTGATGACGAAACCTATATTCAAAACAATGTATTTACCTCTGAAGAACTTGAAGAGATTCGTAACATGGAAACAAAAGACCTTCCTGAGATGCCGACTGAATTATTAAAGTATCTTGGCTCTTTTCGAAAGAAGACGACAGAGGATTTACGGATAGTGCTTGAAGCACGACAAAACTGGGAGGGTAGAAACTTTATCAGGACCAAACACTTTGATTTTGACTGGATAAAAAATAGTGTCCACAATTTATTGTTAGAATATGAGTCTGATACATTACAACGAAAACATTTAGAACAATGGTATAATATCCATGTTTGGTCCTTAATAGATAAGTCTTTTAACGAGTTAGAAGAGGTAGTTGTTTCCAGAGGTGAATCATGTAGCCTTGCTTCCTCAAAGCGTAAAAATAGTAAAAGGATAATTCAAGGATTAGTCGCAACAACACGAAAAGCTCTTGGAAGAAGAGGTGATTTAATTCTAAGAAAAGGAATACATAAGTATGGTGCTTCTGAGGTTGGTAAAGACTATGAGGGTGACAACGGGACGAAATTACTTAAAGAGAGAGGACTAAAAAGTCCGAAGATGCTTAAAGATATGCTGGTGGACTTGGGCAATTTCATAATGTGGGAAACAAATAAGTTGCGTCAATTGGAACTAGTTAGCTTTATACACGCTGGTAAGTATGGTTTTTAATCTGCCTATGAATTTTGCTACAAATAATAATTACATTATTATACAGGGCTTTTTATGATTTTATTGCGTATGGATGCTCCTGCTGGTTACGTTTGTAGAATAACAAGATCAGATACTTTACAATTGCCAACCAATGTTAAATGTTTTGAGCAAGCCCTCAAATGTATAGTTTTAACCTGGAAAGCCAAAGTTAGTATCAATACATTTTTATCACATCAAAAGGATACTCCAAATATCTAACCATCTTCAAAACTTTAGGCGATTATCCGTAAAACAATTGATATTGTTGAAGGAACAAATGACAATGATAATGAAGATGATGCGTTAGAGGAGTTGCAAAAGGCTGGCGTCCGTAAGTGTAAGAACGATAAGGATTTGACCATAATTTCTAACTGTATTAAGACACCACAAAAAAAACGGACAGTGAATACTTAGTTATTTTTTAACATGGGTTATATTTGATGTATAGAAGTTAATTTGTTCATTTATAGCAATTTCATAGGTATAATAAATATTGTTCTAAAGTCAAAAATCTTAACTATAAATTATGCACGTGAAATGTGGAAAAAATATAAATTTCTTGCTAATGCCACAGTTGCCACACCCAAAATATTTGAATCCCGAAAGAATTTAAAGTTTCAAGTTTAATCAATGAGACCCAATTCTCGAAGATGTTCTGGAATTACTACATATGGGTCTTCGTAATACCAAACATACCTTAGTGCAATCCAGTTCTTTTCGCAAAATTCTTTCTTGAGTTGATCCCGCGCCTGCTGTCTGATAAAATTATTAGGATCACCTTTATGAAAGAATTCATGATATTTTTCATGTTGTATACCTTGTACTTCGATTGCAAAGCCATACTGTGGATAAAATATATCAAGTTCTAGTCCATTCAAATGTTCTTGTGTTTTTAAGAATTCAGGCCTGCGGATTAGTGAAGGAGAGCCAAGATATTCCGTTAAAATTTCACGACATAATTTTTCTCTTTTATATTTAGGGCATAATGGACACCAAGTTCCTTGTTGAATACTATTAGGAATAGCTTCCCATCGATGTTTATTTTTACAAATCCATTCTAATTTTGTTTGCGAATCATAATATTGATCTGAAAGGCAATCTCCATTTTTCATTTGCGCGAGTTTACGCATATCCTCTATTGACTGATATCGGCCAATACAAAACGGACACCATTGTCCTCTATTTTTAATGTGATTAAGCGAATTTTGCCATTGGTGATTAGATTGGCAACGCCAAGTAAGCGGTTCACCTATATTTTTATACTCAGTTGAAAGACATTCCCCATGTCTAGATAATGCAATTTGTTTTGCGTCCTCAAGAGTTAACTTCATACTACCTCCACAATATGGACACCATGAACTAGAATTTTTAATTTTATGAAGCGGGCTATTCCAAATATGACCTTTATGACATTTCCACATCATTGGAGTGTCGGAATTTCTATATGTGGTCGAAAGACATTTACCATTTCGGCTAAGTGCAATTTTCTTGGCATCTTCAAGAGTAAGACGAGCATTGCCTGCGCAATATGGACACCACTTACCACTTTTCACATTTCCAAGAGATGTATGCCATAAATGATTTTCTTTGCAACGCCACAATAACGGCAATTGATTATTTTTATACTTAGTTGAAAGACACTCTCCATGTTTAGATAATGCGATTTTTTTGATATCTTCAAGAGTGTGTTTTACATTACCTGCACAGTGCGGACACCATGTTCCACAATTTTTAACTTTACAAAGTGTGGCATACCATGTATGATTCTTAGAACAGCGCCATATTAATGGGGTTTTGTTATCTTTGTATTCAGTTGAAAGGCATATTCCACCATGAGATTCGGCAATAGTACAAGCATCATTTAAGGATAATTTTTTCATTGTAAACAAAGATACACTAATTTTTAGATTTTAGTCTTCTAATTTCAAAGGAGTATCCCAACCTAGTCTAATCGCTAATGGATCATCTATCGCCTTAGTAAAATCAAAAACTATAAAATTTCGATTTCGTAAATGCTTTTCAATGATTTTGAACGCTTTTTTTGGATCATTCACAAATTGACGTATAATTCGAATAAGATCTTCTCTACTCCCTCCATTATTAAATAATGCTAGATGTGAGATATTTTCACGAATTATCTTAGGCACAGCTTGATATTTCTGGGTTAACGTATATTGGTGAGATATTTTGATGCCGACCACTAATGAAATAAGGGACGATACGTTCTTGAATATTTTTTGATTCAGCACAGAGATCTTCGAAAACAACAACAGTACTTCTTTTTGGGGAGAATTTGCTTATATCTGGGATCTTTTCTGCCTTTATTGTTTGAAATGAGATATTCTCCCGATATGGCTTCGAGCTATTCGCAAAAATATGGATAGCATTTTTAACCAGCTCCCATTTAGGCTCGGCATGTTTTCCAACCAATACGAGGTCATCATTTTTAATATATCTATTCCCCTTCTTTCCTTTTAACATGCGCTGGAATTTGTTGCCTAGAATAAGGTTTATAACCATATTAGTTTTTCCGCTATGTGAGCCTCCAGTAACTAGAAGACGAAAAGGCCAATCTGGGCTATATTTATTGCCTTTCATTCGCTCCAAAGATTTTCTGGGGATCTCATCAACATTATACACAAAGAGTTCCATACAGTATTACATATTATGCCAAAATGAATTTCTTAGCCCAAAATAATTCCTTTTAATTCTTCGCCTCTTTCAAGAATCCTTTCTTGATTAGCGTATACTTAATGTAAGGAAGAAGATCACATGTATACGGCACTTCGATAAGACATATACCTTGCTCCTTGCATATATCCTGCTTCTTCTGATCTCGTGATTTTTGTTCCTCCAAATC